TCATGTTCTTAGTTTACTTTGATTATATGCTTAGTGTAGTTAGAGTTATCATTATGTTTATGCATAGGATCGCAAAGCGTTCATTCTTGTTGACGAACAGCATGAGTGGTCAACATTGTGTAAACGTGGTGCTTATATGTTATTTACCTACGGATGCACCCTACATTCTAGATCATGTGGTAGATCACGAGAGTGACAACCTCATTGAGTCCTCTATAGTCCACCTCCTATTTGTAGGCCAAGTAGGACCCGGTTGCGACGGAAGTAGTCAAGCTCTGTTTTTGCTCTTCTTTAGTAACGTCCCTTATGCATAGATATGGAGTTAGACTTTGGCTATTGCTAAGTATCTATGCACATCAATGTATGCTTTGACTTGTGACTAGAATAACTTAGGAATTAACCTCTCTTGTATTTACCTAGATTTGCTATTGCTATCTTTTGTGGTGAATCTAAGTCTACAGGAAGATTTAATAAAAAACAGGCAAAGTGGACCTATCCGTCAGAGCAAATCATGATCATCCGTGATGAAACCGACTTAGAGGACCTCCAATCCACCGTCAAATACAAACCACCACAAATCGACACTGAAACAGCATGGGGGGGGGGCCAGTGACCCACACAGTAGGGTGATTGACCTATGGGGCCCACAAGTCGACCCCTGCTTTGAAGGTCGGTGCTCCACCGCCTCTAAGGATCAATCTACGCCGCATAACAAGGTCGGTTCAAATTGAGAGCCCAGATGGATCGTTGCCACGGATTCATGGGCCCGCAGGATGCCTGGTGCCCCTTATAAATGGACCTTGGCGTGTCCATCACCTCGATGTAAAATCGGCCTTCCTCAACAGTGAGCTGGTGGAGACGGTCTTCGTTAGACAACCTCCGGGTTTCGCCATCAAGGGAGCGAAGCACAGGGTGCCCCGACTGTGTAAGGCGCTCTAGGGTTGCGGCAGGCCCCACGAGCGTGGAACGCCAAGCTTGACGCCATGCTGGGTGAGCTTAGGTTCACATGGTGCACAAGCGAGCATGCGCTCTACACACAGCGATGGGGGAAGGAGGAGTTTGTCATCGGCGTGTATGTGGATGACTTGATTGTCATCGGCGGCGTGCGCGGAGGACATCGGCGACTTCAAAGCGAGATGGTGGCTCGTTTTGAATGAGCGATCTTGGCGCTCTCCTACTACCTCGGCTCAAAGATCGAGGTGAGGCAGGGAATGAGGCGCTCATGCTCTGTTAGAGCATATACGCCTCGAAGCTATTGGAGCAAAGCGGCATGGCTGAGTGCAAGCCCTGCGTGACTCCGATGGTGGAGCGGCTGAAGCTGACGAAGGCTAGTACCGCGGCAAAGGTAGATGCAACACTCTACCGGAGCATCATCGGTGGTCTGCGCTACCTAGTCCACATGAGGCGGACATTGCATTCGCCGTGGGCTACTTCAATCGCTTCATGGAGGATACTCGAGAGGATCCTTTGGCTGCGATGAAGTGGTTGCTGCTGCGCCACGTCAAGGGCACGAGTGGATCAGGGGATCGTCTTCCCCAAGACCAGCGGAAGTAGGCTACAGCTCACTGTATTCAGCGATGTAGACATGGCAGGGGACATCGACGGACGGCGAAGCACCTCTAGCATGCTCGTTTTCCTCGGGTCAGCTCCAATCTCATGGTTGTCGCTAAAAAAGAAGGTGGTGGCGCTGTCCACGTGCGAGAGCAATGCGTGGCGGCGGCCACAATGGCGTGCCAAGTTGTGTGTGTTGTCTTTGGGCTCTTTGGGGCGGTGACCGGTGTGGAAGCTCACCCACCAAAGAGCGATGGTGGACAACCAGCCCGCCATCGCCTCGTGAAGAATCTAGTTCTCCACGACCGGAGCAAGCATATCTACGTCAAGTTTCACTTCCTCAGGGACTATGTCGATGGAGGGCAGATCATCATCGAGTTCGTTGAAACTGGTCGACAACTCGCGGACGTCCTCACCAAGCCGCTCGGCCGTCTTCGACTCAGAGTGAAGAAGATAATCGGCATGGAGGGGGGTTCTAGGGTTAGCAAGCAGGATTAGGAGAATAATTGTTAAGTAATCTCTGCTGCTCTATAGTGTGAAAGCAGTAGTAGGGAAGGCGGCGCCAAAAAGGCTCTCTTTGTGGTACTATAGCAGCTGCTGAGGGCAAAGCGCCGAACGGCTCACACTGTCTGTCATACTTGCTAGCCACAATGAGGGCAAAGGCGTCAAAGTCGACCATCTTTGTCACATCTAGTCTTTGTAGCAACATGATGGCATGATATGTCTGTGTACTAGGATTAGATGGGTAGAGTTGTATATATAGTTTACCACTGCAACTCAGTAAAGAGAGCGAGTTTAGTTTTGCTATCTCCTCTGCAGAGCTCCGGCCAACGCTGGTGCTTGTGCTGTGTGTGTGCTCTGTTCTCCCTTCCTTCTTCTACCTCTATCCACTAGTAAAAAAAGGGCTTCTATTCCTGGCTGCCAACCCCCTTTATTCTCGGTTACGCAGCCGGGAATAGGAGTTCGAGAATAAAGGGTTAGTAGCTGGGAATAGAAGTGGACCTTTAGTCCCGGTTGGTGATACCAATCGGGACTAAAAAGGTAGCCACGCCAGCGCCTAGGCTGGCCCCTTTATTCCCAGTTGGTATTACCAACCGGAACTAAAGGGTCTTTTTTTTCTTTTCCTGCTTATTTCAATTGATGATTCTTTTTTATTTTAATTTGGTTTTCGAATACGCATTATTCGCTGCAAAGTAATATCACGATATCTGTGCAGCGTCTTGTAAAGTTTTCATTTCGATCAATGCATGCAAGCAACACAAGTAAAAGTAAACTAAAACATAATATTACATTTCATCGTCACATGTAAAGTTTGCATTAATTGTACATTTCATCATCACATGTTCTTTGGATCAATATGAAATTTGGCTTTCATCATCACATATTTGGGTCATAGTAAAACTCGCCGCCGGGAGTTAAGACCTGATCATTCAGAAATCCACCTATTGTCTCTTGGATTGCTTTGAGATGGTGTGTGTCCAGGGTTTTTTCCATCAACCAACGAGTCTTCAATTTGAGATATGAGATAAAGAAAAAGTATATTAGTACATATATAATTTCATACATATATACATTAATACACATTTCGTCAATATAATTCATAAATATAATATATATATATACCGGCGGTTTAGAATTAATGGAGTGTTGGCGACGGGCGGTGGTGGACAGCGGCGCTGGATCGAGGCACGGGGGCTCCTGGCTGGGCGCGGCATCGTGTGGGTGGGCGTCGGGATGCCCTCCGGTGAGGAAGAAGGCGCGGCGTCAGGCCGGGGTGGCCCGGGAAAGCGAAATCAGCGGCGGCGTGGCGCGCGCGAGGCGTCGGGGGCAGCCAGGGGCTCCTCCTTGAGGGGCGCGGTGTCGGGGCTACTCCAGCAAGGTGGGCGGGCGTCGGGGTGCCCTCCTGTGAGGAAGGCGGCGTCAGGGGTGGCCGGGAACGCGAAATCGGCGGCGGCGTGGCGCGCGCATGGCGTCGGGGGCGGCTGGGGGCTCCTCGGTGTGGGGCGCGGCGTCGGGGCTACTCCGGCGAGTTGGGCGAGCCTCGGGGTGCCCTCCGGTGAGGAAGGCGGCGTCGGGGGTGGCCGGGGAGGCGAATCGGCGGCGGCGGAGCTCTGGGGACGCGCTGAAGACGAAGACGATCGATGAGGAGGAAGAGAGAAGGGAGGCGGCGGTATATAGGAGAGGGACCTTTAGTCCCGGCTCCATTCACCGCCCGGAACTAAAGCACCTTTAGTCCCGGCTCTTGCCACCAGCCGGGACTAAAGGGGGCGGAAGGGGGAGCCTTTAGTCCCGGCTGTTCGAAGGAGCCGGGACTAAAGGATTTTTTGGCGGGCCGCCAAATGCAGCCCACCTTTAGTCCCAGCTAGTGGCAGGAGCCGGGACTAAAGGTGGGCTACATTTTCATTTCCCGCCAACTTTTAAGCAAATCAGTTTATTTTATATATGTTTTGTATTTAAATGTTTAAGTCTTATTATTTGCGGAGTAAATTCAATACTAGGCATAAAATTTTGCATCAACCTCCACAAATATTTGTCTCCTAGGGCACAAGAGACCATTTGGCAAAGTTTGGCACCATTCCGAATCTTTTCGGGGGTGGACTCGGTTCAACGTATAATTAATCGATGAAGTCGCGTGGAAATTCAATTAAAGTGAAAAAATTACCAAACCAATTCAGAAAAATCTCGAACTTGGTGGTGGCTTCACACTGGGCATTTGAAACCCTGATAAAAATTATGAGATCAATCAGGCACTAGAAAGCACATGGACCAGAAAATTCAAAGTATAGTTAACAAAAGAATATAATCAATTAAAGGGTCTTTTCTCTTATTAAATAAATGTTTGGGTGCTTTCTTGTCGAGAAAGTGACTTAGTTCAGATGGCTAGCTAGTGCGCTGCGGTTTGGACCTTGGCTATGAGGTCATGGGTTCAATGTCTGGCTACCCCATTTTTTTGTCCAGCGCGACTATATTATTTTATCAAAAAAGATTTTATCCCGGTTATAGCCCAGAGCCGAGACTAAAGGTCATCCTTTAGTCCCGGCTGGAGCCTCAAACCGCGAGTAAAGATTTATTCCCGGTTGGAGGGTCCAGCCGGGACTAAAGGATAACCTTTAGTCCCGGCTCTGTGCTATAACCGGGACTAATTGTTGCCTGCCGTCGCCACACACTTGGGGCAGGAACTTTGTATTCTTGTTTGAGGATACAACCGGAACTAATAGTCCCTTTAGTCCTGAACACAAAAATACCGGGACTAAAGGTAAAAATAGAGGCGGGATGAAAGGTCTGTTTTCTAGTAGTGATCCATAGTGTGTGCTCGGCAACGCTGGTGAGTGGTCGGCTCACCTATGCCGGTGACCCAGAGGGCAACACAATCAGCTACTTACACACTGATCAGAAACAAAAAATGAAGAGCTTATAATTGATAGACTGCAGCAACATATTCTACAGAACTAATCTGATACGGTGAAACCTTCACACCCGCACCCCACATCACACCTCAACCTTATCAAAGTTCATAACATATCAAAGTTCATAACATTGTACTTCATTAGTAAAAACTGCACTTGGGAATAGCTTGATACTAAAAAGTGAGAAATGAATTAGATATCTACCTGCAGCGTTGTGCTGGGGTTATTGTCAATTGCATAAGCTCACCAGTAACAAGGTTATTTACAGCAGTTGCTAGTAATGATACAACCTGCAGTGGAAAAGGTAGGTATGTAGATGTTATGGACCTGTGAAGATACAGAGTGTAAAGTAACGACAAAATTTGATGTTGTAGAGATGGATAAAGATGCAAAGTGTCATGGCATATCACATGCTAATAAAAACTGGTTATGTTTTCTCTGTGCAGCAATTCATAAGAATCCCCACTCATAAATGCTTTATTAGCAACACTGTCAATAAAATTGAACAAGAATAGTTTTTTGACATCAAAATAAAAGAATAAACATCACACCTCAGTATTGTCAAGAGACACAGCAGCAGAAAATGCCCTGAAAAGTAGAAAATCACCAGCCAAAACTGCAAGCTGCAATATAGCATCAGCTTCAGCTTTACTAATTTTTTTAATGCTATGGAAGATATGACAAAAGGATATAGTTTATTTACATTTGCAAATTTTACAGCATAGCATGGGAATCTTTACTTATGAGATGAAAGTGTGCTGAAAAACAAATATAACCATTATTTATTTTAAGAGGCATGAAACTGAAAATTGGGATTGCGCATTAAATAAGAGATTGTTGACATTTTGACTTTTTTATTATTCTTTTTTTCCTCCAACACACAGGAGAACTGAGCATCATTTCATTAAGAAGAAAAGAGTGTACATAGAGTACAAGGGGAGAAGATTTCCCCAAACAAACAAACAAACACACACACACACACACACATTAACACACAAAGAAACCTACAGCCCACACCTCGCCCTTTGAGATTTTTATATTTTTTATTAACTATAAAAAAAGTTAAAATAGAGTACCTTAGTTGGAGCTACTGAAAAGCAACTAATTGATTTGCACATGTTAAATAAAACAGCTACCTTCAAAATGGCAATCCTTCATATTTTCATTTTTTACAGAACAATCACCAAACTTTTCCGCATTTGCATGTTTTAAATAGACAACTTGGCTATTATAGAAATTATCATATTACCTTCTTTCCCACTGTGAAGTTCAATGAGTCCATGCCACGCCTCGCGTTGTCCAAAACATCATCATGGATAAGGCTTGATATCTACGATGCAAGATAGAAGATGAACCATTGGAATAAATAATTCTGAATAGAGTGTCAAATGCAAGGAGGCTCAGATGTGTACATGAACCATTTCGGTTATCTCAGCAACACGCATTCCTCTCGACACCGACACCACACCATGGTATGCGACTCGGCGTTCCTTGATCTAACGTTGACCATGCCACACCATGGCAAAGCTCAGCGTGTAGTTCTTTAGCGCTGAGGTTGGCTAGCTCGGCGTTGCACAAATTCACGCCAAGCTAAAGAGCTTATGAAAGCTACTAGTGTACATGCATGTTTGTACTTTATGCATTCAATATTTTGCGAATTTCATAGGAAATTAAATATTGATGTGAGATCAGCCTGATTTAGATTCATAATGTGTCATCTATTATGTTTGATACCAATATGTAAGGTTCCAATTTTTTCCCCAAAAAATATTATTGTAATATAAAATGAGAAACTAGAGTACATAAAAAATCTTATAAGAAAGCTGAAGGATCGAGAAAGGCGACCAGAGTGAGTTGAATGAGCCAATTTAAATTTCTGATGAAATTGGTCGTTGTCCCAATGCCAACATAAACTCCAAAACACCAAGGTGACTCCAAAACACCAAGGTGAAGTGCACACGAGTCAACTGGCTTTGCCACTATCTGCCTGGCACAAGAGCCCGAGGTTGGCGTAGCCGCCTTACTAGCCGGCCTAGCAGCTTGATCATCTCTTGACAATTACTCATCATCACAACACACATGGGCACATCTTAACCATATGCTCGCAATAGCTATAAATCCAATTGAGCTGCTAATTAATATCGTCCAAATCTTGCTCGGGGAGTTGCCCTTAACGAATATTTCTTCTAGTGCGGTTTTAACTATTATCACTCATAACGCCAAAACACGCAATCCTCTGCCATAAACAATTCCTACAGTGATTGGGATTTCTAATCCGACAGTGATTAGTTCTAGCGTACTGACTGTTGGCCGCTTGAAATCCCCGCGTTGCGTATGCCTCGAAATGGCTGTGGAACCTTGCATACCGGCCTTTCTAAAAAAATGCGAGAATACCAATCGGTCTGGATGGGCATGTCTGTTATTAGCTTATATGCACGTACGTGATAGTTAATGCACAAGGTAACCAGCTTCTTCCTAAAATTATTTCTAGAATTTTTGGCAAATATTTTTTCAATGCATATTTTTTTATCATGTAGAGATAGGGGTGCAAACGATTCGGATATGAACGTAAATATGCGATTTGATCATTCGAATACGGATACGGTATTGGATGTTGAATATCTAACTCCTCTAAACAGATTTGGACTCGGATACGGTCGAAAAAATATCTGTACCATTTGCACCCCTACGTAGAATAACATTATGTTCTAACGAAATTACTCATGTCAATTGGATTTATATTTATCTTTCTATAAATTTCACAAAATTTCTAGAGTTTACTATCTAGTTTTTGGATATAATAGATAACCACATCATGAATCTAACCAAGCTGATCTCACGTCAATATTTAACTTTCTATGAAATTCGCAAAATATTGAACGCATAAAGTACAAACATGCATATGCACTAAGTAGCTTTCACAAGTTCTTTAGCTTGGCGTGAATTTGTGCAACGCCGAGCTAGCCAACCTCAGTGTTAAAGAACTCCACGGCGAGCTTTGTCGTGTTTGCACGCTAGCAGCGACGTGGCATGATCAGCGTTAGACCCTCCACAATGTGCGCTTGAGTGATGCCCAAAAGAAGAGAGAGAAGATTCTGGAGTCACTCTCTCCATTGCAGCGAGCGGATCCAACTCTGAGCGATGCCAGAAAAATGGAGAGCGGCGCAACTACTTGCGCCGGTGCCAGCCGATGCCCAAATCATAAAATAGTATTTTCACTGGGGCTCCTCGTCGCTGGCTCCGTCTTCCATCACCGAGGAAAACGAAGGTCCGGATTCATCTTTATTTCGTTTTATTTCCTCGTGGGTGGGTGGTGGGTCCCATGGAAGCGATGCGAAGCGCTCCCCACATTGCAGCCTATCAAGCGCGATGCCAGAATCAGAGGCGGAGTCTACGTATTTTTCTTGGCATCGCTCTACCATTGTGGAGGGCCTTAGACGAAGGAACGCCGAGTCGCATACCTTGGGCTTTGGCCCATTTCTACAAATAGTTATGCCAAAAGTCTATTTGTAGAAATAGTTTGTAAAAAGGGTTAAAATAGGAAATTTTCACCGCCTTCGACGACAAATCATCTAGTACAAGGAGTTGATTTTTTTTTGCCATGTTTTTCCTCCAAAGGAAACTTCGCTGCTATCGGTACTCTCTTTTTCTGTAACTCCAGTCAGTTTGAAAGAACATTTTCCACACTGCCATTTGCAAACTAAAGGTCCGATTCGAAAGTTCCACGGTGAAAAAACTTCATCAGAAAATTACATTAAATGCCAGGTACTGTGCTTGTTACCAGTAATAACCAGGCTTTACTGGACCCATGCCGGTAAAGAAATACTACCCGTTCGGAAAGATCTTACAAGTCTATTATTGGCTTCTTCATGACAATCAACTTTCTCCATGGCAGGGCAGCTACCCTCAATTGCTCCATTTGGGCAGGCACTGGTTGTTACGGGAGCCCCCCTAATTTCTTGATTTCAATGCTAATTACTGTAGCAAAAGCTTGATTTCACCGTTAAATCTTCGTGCAAATCAACATCTCTGTTGTTTTAGCCCCCCCTTATCCCGCATCCCACATCCGCCACTGGTTACGGGCGCACCAAAGAGATCACTGGGAATTGATTGGGAATGGCCGAATGGGAATGTATCCAAGACGTGGCCGCGCTGCCATCCAAATCCGATCCTGCGTTGCGTTGCTCCCAAGGAGGACGGGCGGGCGATCATGACACGTCAAGGACAACAACATGTGCCTGCTTTCTGCTGCCTGCTGGGCCCCTGGGCCGTAGGCCTACCTCACTGTCAATCCACAAAAGCCCCTAGTCGTGCTCCACACTCGAGACCTACAGATTTAGGCACTTCAAATCCGTTGCAAAGGGCAACCGTGTACAATATCATAAGGAGCTGAACTTATTTTAAGAAAACATCGTGCTAGCAGTAACAGTGAAAGTGCCGTTTCAGATTCAGAAAATAGGATTGTTTATACATATATGACTGGTACCGAAAGACATGCACATGAAGAAGATTCATGTGCAGTTGAGAACAGTGACCGGTTCCATTTGAGATTCAGAGCCGGCCGGGTAGCAATTGATGCCCTCCCTCATGGATCGTATCTGTCCTGGCCTCCTGGGAGAGCCCAAAAGCATCAGAAAAGACTACTCATGCTTTAGTTCTTCCTTTGCTGAACAAGGTCATTACCTATCCAATTGTTTCAGGTCGGGTTTGAGGAATTCAAAGGACAACATTTGTCAGCAGACAGAGACATGCTGGCCTGATGATGGACTAGCTCATGTGGGCAATGGTTACTAGCTAGCATCAGTATATATTTACACACTAAGAATCAATCAGAGACTGTGACAGTGATTCCAGTTAGCTACTCAATCCGATACACCTACCAGCTGATGCCAAATGTCTCCTTCCAAGATCCACCAAAAGCTAAGCCGTAGCTGTATCTTTTTCTTTTGCCTGCAACCATTACGCTAGCCAGTATAACACACTGCATCTTCTGACTTGGAGATTGGAGATGGCCTGGTGGAATAGAAGCTTGCAGGAGTGGAGAAATAATCATGACGCCTAGCCTACACTGGTCGAATCACATGATCGATGAACCTAATCCCCATTGACAGATCAGGCAGTTCGTGTGCAGGACTAGGAACAATGGATTCTTTTCCAAGAACATGACGTTGGATGGGTTCGTTACGTTACATGCTGATGTGTTTAAGGTAAACTATTCATCAGAATATGTTGATGCCCTACCTATTACACTCAGAGTGATGAGACATGGAAGTGCTCTAAATACTGACAACATACTCTTAGAGGCCCAAGGTCCTGTTCGTTTCTCTTATAATCTGTCTTTTCAGCTTATTTTTTCAGCCGGAACAATGTTTTTCTTTCACAACAAATCAGCCGGAACAGTGTTTCAGCTTGTTTTTTCAGCGAAGCAAACGGGCCCAATCCGTTAGCGTTGTCCCTAGGCATGGAAAGAGGCCCATGGGCCTTTTTTCAGCATGTTTTGATGATTTGATCCAACTAACCCAATTGCAGCTAACACACGAATCCTGTACCGTGTACGATTATGAGTTGTCAAGACAATTTGCTAAAACGTGAATTGACTACTTAGGAATTTCGGTTTTTGGATGATGTAGTAGTCTAGTAGGTGCCTTGCCATTGCCAAAGATCCTGAGGTTCAAGACCACGGCTCACACATGACATTGCACAAAAGCCCACGCGCGAGAAGCCACCTACCACCGGTAGTGTTTTTTTTTTTAATATTTCATTAAAAGAAGAAATATAATGGGTTTTGCTGTGATACTCTAAAATAACTATGGAACCTTAAGATGGTTACGATAACCTATTATCTTGTATAAGATGAAATATATTTATTTAATTTTTTACTATTTCATTCATTTTAACTTGTAATTTGTTTTCCTAAGTAAAACTTGTCCAACTTTGATCAAATTTATAGAAAAACATATTAACATATACAATATCAAATAATGCAATATGTATCTAATGAATCTTGTTTGATGTTGTAAATGTTTGTATGCTTTTCTATAAATTTGAACAAAGTTAGAGGAATTTAACTTGGAATAAAGACAAAACAATACAATTTAGAATGGAGGGAGTACTAGGAATGTTGGTCCTTCCCCGTCAACCAACTCTTTCGAACTTCCATAGTTAGCACATGAAGCTGAATAATATTAGATTTTGGATGGGTTGTGATCCATCCATGTTCAAAGTTAACCACGCTTATATACAGGGAACTGGTGAGTAATTAAAAAAAAAAGCTAATGTAAGAGAAATAATTAACGTAAGAAAATTGTTTTCCTTTCACTAATGAAACTTATTAGGAGATATATCAGTGATATTAAACAACATACTAATCAAGGCTGGAAAATGTTACAGACTTCGATTCAGTGTTCTTGATCTTCTCTTAAACATTGAAGGGTACAAACAAAAAAACCACGCTATTTATTACTATATAGTTCTTTATTCGTGGTTACAACACTTGTGCCCCAACATGAGCAGACTTTCGATCTCTCTCTCATCAGGTACACCGAGCAATGCAAAACACTGACAGCTATTGTAGCGTACAACCGTACATAAAACGAAAAAGGGATTGCCTTATGCTCAGACTAAAACAAGAGAGCAAGACTAATCCAGCTCCATGATTGCCTCATCTCTCTCATACAAACTTAGGCTTTGACGTTCAAGCACTCGGTTTTGGCCATGGGGGCGAGGAAGGCCAGCTTGTCGGTGCAGTGCATAGGGGTGTCGACGATGACCTCCACGCCGCGGCTCGCATTGCGCAGAGGCGGCGTCCTTGGTGACTGTGACTCCATGGCCGCCATGGCCGCCTCCTTGTCATCCTCCGCGATCGTGTCGAGGTTCCTTGGGAGCCTAGCACGCCTGATCATCATCGATGGCAGCTTGGATGGCGCCACCTCCATTGTGATTCGGCCGACGAGCTGCTGAGCCATGTATGCTAAGAATGCAGGGGAGAGAGAGGAGAGGGAGAGGGGGAGGGTCGAAGAAGAGAGAGAGTGTGTGCTCAAGGGGGCATTTGGGTGTTGCTAGCTTAAGTATTGCTTGTGTTGGTGTCTGGCCCCCAAGAGGTTGTCTTTGGGGGTTTATATAGCCCTTAGCTCCATGAACATCTTACATACAAGTTGAAACAAATTGATGAATGTGGTGATGAATACATCACCGGAGAAAAGAAGGCAGTGGTCTCTGAAGGCGGGGTCTTTAATTTGCAGAGAATGAATGAGCTAAAAGCAAAGGATGGGAACAGACAATGACCATCAATCAGAAGACGAAAGAAAATCTTTTTTTTGAAACAATGGCAAGAGCTCTGTCGCTCAATTAAGACGAAAGAATTTATGTATAAGAGGGCTAGCCAACAGAATGACAAAAAGGCCACCCGAGGGGCTAACCAACCCACGCGACACAGCTGAGCACTAACACATCACACTACCATGGGTCATCGTTGCCGAGCATGGCTAAAGACGCAAGCAGCTCTGATTTCCCATGGAAGTCCACACACAAGCCACCCTCCGATGGGCTCAAAGCAAGTGGCCGCCATCGGTCATCGTCACCAAGCTCAAGCACCCCGTGAAGAGCAGCTCCGACTTCCAATCACGAACACATGCCTCGCCTCCGGCGCTTGTCGACCCCTAGCAGACCCCAGCCTACAATGAAGGAGGAGGCTCGCCGCGTGTCATCATTGCCGAGCCACGTCCCTGACACAGCAGCTTTGACTTCTCGCAGTAAGACCCACCTTCACGTGTCAACCAGGCGCCAAGAAGCGAAGAGCACTCACCGAAGGAGACTTCGAAGTCATGACGAAATCCAAAACGCAATGCCTTCAGGAAGGTAGCGACGCCAATGGCGCCACCATCGCATGTCCAAATTGGACCGGGCTTTCACCCTTGGATGATAATGCTAGAGAGGATAGACGATGCCCCCAACAGGGAAGCCGCACCCATAGGCGTCGCCGTCGCTAGGCTTTTGCCCAAGGAGACCTCTAGCACAAACGTAGGGCCAAGAAGTCTAGACCATTGCCATCCAACACAGCCTTTGCCGTTGTCCCACCGCTCCATAGCAACCCCTTCAGAGGGGCCTCGACGTGTCGGCTGCATGCAGTAGCCACACAGCTGCGTCGGTCGCCACCCCCTCTGACCGGACAACGTAGAGCTAGACCTGACTCTACCGCTGGCGAAACACCGCCGCATGACGAACGCCTCTGTCGTACGCCGTCGTCGGCTCTTGGCACAGTGAAAGGTCCTAATATGGCTAGAGGGGAGATGAATAGCCTATTTAAAAATCTAAAAACCAACTAGAGCAATTTGATTAGTATGACAAATAGCGAAAGGCAAACTTGCTCTAGCTCTACAAGGGTTGCAAGCCACCTATCCAACAATTCAATTACTATGATCACTAGACACACAATTTACTAAGTCACTACTCACTAAGAGCTCTCATACTTGCTACACTAAAGAGCTCCACTAGATGAACTTAAGCTACAAAGCAAGCTCTCAATTCCAGCTACACTAAAGAGCTTGCTACAACTAGTTTGTGGGAATGTAAATGAGTAAGTAAGGTGATTATACCGCTGCATAGAGGAGTGAACCAATCACAAGATGAATACTAATTCAATCACCGAGAGAATACTAAAGGGTAAGAGACAACCAATTTTTCTCCCGAGGTTCACGTGTTTGCCGGCACGTTAGTCCCCGCTGTGTCGACCAACACTTGGTGGTTCGGCGGCTAAGAGGTGTTGCACAAACCTAATCCACACAATTGGACACCACAAGAACCTACCCACAAGTGAGGTAACTCAATGACATGAGCAATCCACTGGTGATACCTTTCGGCGCTCCGCCGGGGAAGGCACAAGACCCCTCACAATCATCGCGATCAAAGCCGGAGACAATCACCAACCTCTGCTCGATGATCCTCACTGCTCCAAGCCGTCTAGGTGGCGGCAACCACCAAGAGTAGCAAGTGAATCCCACAGCGAAACACAAACACCAACTACCTCTAGATGCAATCACTCAAGCAATGCACTTGGATTCTCTCTCAATCTCACAAAGATGATGAATCAATGATGGAGATGAGTGGGACGGCTTTGGCTAAGCTCACAAGGTTGCTATGTCAATGCAAATGGCCAAGAGTAATGAGCTTGAGCCAGCCATGGGGCTTAAATAGAGAGCCCCCATGAATAGAGCCATTGGCTCCTCTATCCAGTGAAACACAGGCTGATCGGATACGCCGGTCAGGTTGACCGGACGCTGGACCCCTACGTCCGATCGCCTGATGATCGCCACGTGTCATTAGCTTCACATGTTGAGCACCTCGTCTTAATGGCTATTCTGCTTCGTGCCACGTGTTAAGTTGCGACAGGACGCGCTGCTCAAAGTGACCGGACGCTCCATCACTCGAGTCTAGTCATTTCCAGTAAGGTTCTAGAGATGGTTTTTCGTGACCGGATGCGTCCGGTGTACCTCGACCAGACCCAGCTCAGCGACCGGTCCTCCTCCTCTTCTCTGTATGCTGCCACATCAGCATGATCGAACGATGAACAGTGTTCAGCTAGAGTTCGATCACCTACATCTGGTCTCAGGCCAAGAGTAGCCTGAGCACACCACTGATTTTATAAATGACCGGACGCTGCTCCCCCGAGTCCGATCACTGTTTCACAGTGACAATCACCTCCTTTACTTCACTAACTTCTCCACCCTTGCTCAAATGTGCCAACCACCAAGTGTATCACCTTGTGCACATGTGTTAGCATATTTTCACAAATGTTTTCAAGGGTGTTAGCACTCCACTAGATCCTAAATGCACATGCAATGAGTTAGAGCATCTAGTGGCACTTTGATAATCGCATTTTGATATGAGTTTCACCCCTCTTAATAGTATGGTGATCGATCCTAAATGTGATCACACTCTCTAAGTGTCTCGATCACTAAATCAAAAAGCTCCTATCAATTTCACCTTTGCCTTGAGCTTTTTCTTTTTCTCTTTCTTCTTTTCCAAGTCCAAGCACTTGATCATCACCATAGCATCACCATCATCATGCCATGATCTTCATTTGCTTCACCACTTGGAATGTGCCACCTATCTCATAATCACTTTGATAAACTAGGTTAGCACTTAGGGTTTCATCAATTCACCAAAACCAAACAAGAGCTTTCAATCTCCCCCTTTTTGGTAATTGATGACAACCCTTACCCAAAGATATGAATTGAAATCTAATTGAATCCATGTTTCTTGCCCAAGCATATTTCCCATGTGTAAAAGGATATGGACAAGTTTCATGAATCCCATATGGTAGCAATTGGTCCCCTACATATGTGCTAAGAGTTTGGATTGTAGCTTGCACATATGCCTAGATAGAAAATATAAGAGACAATGTCTACCAAATGATGCTAAGGTATAAAAGATAGACCTTTGAAGCATGATACCAATCGGAGTGCACCAATATACCATCCTTACCACCATTAGTAACTAGACATACACAAAAACTAGAATACCCTATGAGATCAACATTAGAAGCAAGGGTCTAGTTTCCATGAATATAAGTCTAGTTTCTTATGCATGCTAGTTTTTCACTTCATCATTCAAACCTACAACTAGCATACACCACACAAGCATGGATATTGAAATTTAAAACTTGTGGCATGCAAGCAAATATATGAAATGTACATTCAAATGCACCATACAAGTTCATGAGCTTGCTCCCCCTACTTGTGTGCTCAAAATTTTAATTGATCCCCTTCCTTTGTTATATCTCTCCCCCTATGTCGAATTCTCCCCTTATCACTTACATCTTTGTTTCTCTCCTCCTTTGTCAACAATTAGCACAAAAGGTGAGCTCAAATTTTAGATAGGTTGGGGTGAAACCATATGAAGTGAGGATCATTTTCCCAATTTGGTTCAATCTAGATCACTTGCAAAAGATATTTAATTCGGTTTGATCCAAGGGCAAGCTTCTTTACACCTCCAAAAGAGGGTTATCATGCACCATGTGGAGTTAAACACTTATAGCTCATTTTCTAGATTAAGCACTAGGTTTACAAGCCCACAAACATGTCATATGCTACCACTAGATCATTTCAAGCATACAAGCAATAGTGGTACAATACAAGCATCAAATTCATTTGATTTTCATGAATGAGTCTAAGACATGATAGGAATGACTAGATGCATTAAACAAGTCCTTGGCAATAGATGAATGTCATGTCAATCAACTTTACCTTGCTTTGCTCGAAGGTGAGGCATGTCATATAATGGGGGTGCATTAACACATATTGGAGAAGTCAAGTATGTTAAATTCATTCCTTAGCTTGCAAAACCTCTTCTCATCAAGTGGCTTGGTGAAGATATCGGCAAGTTGATCATCGGTGCCAACACTCTTAATACAAATATCCCTTTTTTGTTGGTACTCTTATGAAATGATGGCGGGCATCTATATGCTTTGTTCTTGAATGTTGAACCGGGTTGTTGGTGAGCTTTACGACACTCTCATTGTCACATAGCAATGGCACTTGCTTGAATTTGATTCCAAAGTCACTCAAAGTAGCCTTCATCCAAAGTAATTGAGCACAACAACTACCGGCCAAAATGTACTCCGCTTCGGTGGTTGAAAGTGCTACACTATTTTGCTTCTTTGATGACCAAGACACAAGTGATCTTCCTAATAGTTGGCATGTGCCCGATGTGCTCTTTCTCTCAACTTTGCATCTCGCATAATCAGAGTCCGAATATCCAATCAACTCAAATCTTGCTTCTTTGGGATACCACAATCCAACATTTTGTATATGCTTCAAGTACCTCAATATTCTCTTTGTTGCCTTCAAATGACTTTCTCTTGGTGAGGATTGAAATCTAGCACACATGCATACACTAAACATCACATCCGTCCTTGATGCGGTCACATAGAGTAGGCTTCTAATCATAGACCGATACATCTTTTGAT